GCGCACGAGGGCACCGGACTACGAGAGTATCTGGCTCCGCGGCTACGATGAGCGGCAGGAGCAACGGACCCACAGGCGACTGGCAAAGCAGGCTCGCTGGGCTACCGAGAGCATGAGGGCTCCGGACTACTGGCGCTGCTGACGACACGACGGCGACCTTCGCTCTACCTCCCCTAACAGTCCCACACCCCCTTCTCACACACCCCCTTGCTGCACCCCTGTCTCCACTCCCACGACACCCCCTTAGCTCCACTCCCCTCGGCTCCCACACATCCACCCCCCTTCAGCGGCAGCTGCAGCAGTGGGAGACGAAGAAGGAGGAGGAGGAGGGGAAGGGTGGCACCCACACTCATCACCCCCACACCCGCCACCCCCATACCCTCCCCCCACGGCTGCACAGGGTCCAGGAGCGGCGTCGCGGGCAGCTGCAGGGTCGGCTGCTGCAGGGGCGGCTGCTGCAGGGGCGGCTGCTCCAGGGGCCAGGGGCGGCTCCTGCAGTGGCGGCTGCTCCAATGGCCAGGGGCGGCTGCTGCAGGGGCGGCTGCTCCAGGGGCCAGGGGCGGCTCCTGCAGTGGCGGCTGCTCTAGTGGCCAGGGGCGGCTGCTGCAGGGGCGGCTGCTCCAGGGGCCAGGGGCGGCTGCAGGTGCGGCTGCTCCAGGGACCAGGGGCGGCTGCTGCAGTGGCGGCTGCTCCAGGGGCCAGGGGCGGTTGCTGCAGGGGCGGCTGCTCCAGGGGCGGCTGCTCCAAGGGCCAGGGGCGGCTGCTCCAGGGGCGGCGTCGCTGGTGCAAGGCAGGCCCGCGCGCTGTTGCAAAGCAGGCGCGGGCGCAGGAGAGGCAGAGGCGGCGGCCAGGGGGGGGTGCGCCGCGACGAGCAGGGACAGCGCCCAGGGGGCGCCGCGACGAGCAGGGGCGGCGCCCCAGGGGCGACGCCGCGCGCGGGTCCCGCAGGGGCGTCGCGGCGAGCAGGGCAACGCCGCGCGGGTCCCGCAGGGGCGTCGCGACGAGCAGGAGCGGCGACGCACGGGTCCCGCAGGGGCGTCGCGACGAGCAGGAGCAGCGCCTCGCAGGGCGCCGCGAAGGGCAGGGTACGGGCGGGCAGAACAGGCCCGCGCGCGGACGTGGGGCAGGCGCACAGGCGGCGTGAGAGCAGGCCGCGCGCGGGGCAGGAAGACGCCGCGCGCCCGGGGCGCACGGCGGGCAGAAAACCGCCGTGCGCCCCGAGCACACGGCGGGCAGAAAATCGCCGTGCGCCCGCCGCGCGCCCGAGGCGCGCGGCAGGATGACATGCAGCGGAAGCAGACTGGTGGGCCCGTTAAGGAAGGCAGCAGGAAGGTGCCTGCTCTGAATACCATGTCAAGATACTAAGCAATTAGTTGGGCTTAGAAGCCATGGCTAGAGTAACTTAGTAGCTTAGGTTTTAGGGTTGAAGGAGGTGTCGAGAGAGTTGAAGCAGGAAGAAGTGACTTCACTAAGAAAGATGAGTACAAAATATAGCAAGGAGAAGCATGGTGCACCACCTACAGCAAATTGGGATGTGCTACACTCTACACTGCAGACAATTATAAAGAACATATATAAATATAGTTCAACAAAAGGCGCTACCAGTCCAGCCGCAGCCAGTAAGAAGAAACTGATCCCTCCCACCTTGCAATGAGAAGGCAAAGATAATCATGGGGGGCGGAAGCAATTGTTCAGCAGCCAGGCCTTCCAGAGCGATTCGTGAATGCGAGAAAAACTCGAGTCATCAAACATGAGCAACCTTTTTTATGTACCAAGCTTGATTCTAGCGCGGACCAGGTGTTGGCATTTCGCATATTGAGATAGGCAGTAGAAGAAGAAAATCATGCACGCCGAGATGAATAATGCGAGCACTTGATGCAGAGCGTCGATCGTAGAGAAAGACTCCTCGTTATAACGATAGGCACAACGAGCATTCCAGATAAACTTAGCAGAGGCGCCAATGAGCATGCTCCAAGGAGCGACCTGGCTTGCCGGAGAGACAAGGGGAAAGAGAGCTTGGTCTGTCTCAATACGCTGCCCAAGATGTCGCAGGGCCACTTGTTGGACCGCCGATAAGATGGCGGCAGCGTTCCCACATTCAAAGAAGATAAGTGGAAGGGATTCCGAGGGGGTAGCTGGGCAGCGGGGGCAGGCGCTGCCAGACGACGCAAACCGAAAGCGGGAACCAGAAGGGAGTGATCGGGTGTAAAGTTGGTAGAGTAGATCCCGTTGTCGGCTCGGCTGCTCTTTGAGGAAGGTGTGGAGGAGGCCCGGGAGAGATGGAAGGGGATTCTGAAGACAATCGTTCCAGCCTTGCAGATGCGTTGTGGGTCGGGAGGTGTAGAGGAGGCGGTAAATATCGGCAAGCGACGTAGAGCCGTGTTGGATGATTGAGAGACGTGCGCCGAGACCTGCTCCGGAACAGAAGGTGCCAGCTACTTATCGAGCTTGGACGAGCACTGGGATGACGTCCGCGATCGGCAGCACAACTTGATCCTTGGGTAGCGCATCGACACGGCGACCGTCGGGGACGTCGAACGAGTGGAAGCACGCTGAGCTGGCGGAGGGGTGGAACATGACCTGGAAGACCTGAGGGGTCGTGCCAAGAAGAGGAGAGGCCAAAACGGCCCAGTCCCCACTCTATAGGAGATCAGAGTTAGAAAGGAAGGTTTGGATGATAGGCCACCACTCCTCTGGAATAGCTGAGCAAGTAGCAGCAAACGCGGGGAGTGAGTTTCTATCTTTAATGAAACAAGCCCCTCCTCACGTTTTGATATGATGTGCATGCGTTACATTCAGCGAAGTTAAAGGTGGCTGTAAACCCCCATTCAATAGTGTAAGGACCCGTGATTCAAGGTTTGAGGGTCTCACTGTTATGGTTTTTTTTACAGCCGGACGAACAAACAGACACATTTGTGTACGTGACTAGATCGGACGCATGATAATACAATGTACTTGTAATAGCATTCTACAGTATCTGCTTTTGTTCGTCGTATCCAAGTCAGTTCCGGAAGCATTCACGTATATTTGTGGTATGTAACGAAATTATTTGAGAGGGTAACACTGTACGCTAAAGGAGCTGACTTTACCGAGGTCGCATTCAATGTTGCGATAAGAAATTGATCGTAGTCAGGAACACCTCATGAAGGGTCGCAACAGTAAGACTGTTATTAGTTGCAACGTTTCATACTCCTCGTGATCCTATAATGAGCTTGTATTACCTTTCTATACTTAATCTCTCCTGCCCTCACATACTAGGGCAAGGTGGTTCAACACTTGTTATTAATCGCTTCCGCAATGACAACACTTGCCCTCACCTTTCTCAGCCCAACAACCTCAATAGCAGAGCGAGTGAAAATGTTTGAGATAATATAATCATGCAGAAACAGCACTATGAATACGAGAACAGGGGGATACCAATGAATCTGTTGTTCAGGATCCGTCACTTCGAGAGCTTACGACGAACTCATTACTCAACTAAACGCAAATCCGCTCAGTAGGATGTTGCGCCTAAGCCTTAGCTGCCATCTCCAATTTGAATCACCTAAAAAGATGATATAGAGAGTGAGAACCATATGAAAACGTCCAGCAGCTGCATGACTAGAATGGTGGAGGAAGTACAAACATTAGAGCATAGGAAGTTGGAGTTGGGGACTCCAAGAGAACCATGAGAGGGAAGGGGTTCTCCAAGAGCTAGGGAAGGATGGTAGGAACCTTCCCAGCAGCAAGGATGCGACCCTCATCATGAGGTCCTTGAGGTGTCACATGCAAAATCCAATCTAGTTGGATTTTGCCTAGGTGTTTCAACATTTGCAACCCATGCTAGAAACTTCTAGCCACCCCAATCCAAAAGTCAAAGTTGCCTTCCTAACCACCCAACCAAAGATCCCTTTATAGTCATGTCCCAACTAACCACCCAAATTAGATATAACCCCAAAAGGTAATAAAAAATCCAAATCTTGGAAATCTTGTAACTTGGGCGATCGTGGTCGGAATAAGGCGATCTTGGTGTCGTTGGAAAGCTCTGGATTTCTCCTGCATGATGAAGCATTTAAACTTGGAGAAAAACACAGAGATGATAATATCCAACAGCCATGCACAATGACATACGCTCATGCAAATCATGCAAGCACAAATAGCACGAGCACTCGGCAGGACGTTAGGATGACATGCACTCAGAATAACGTGCATCCAACAAACTCCCCCTCAGACTAATGGACTGCATGCATACACACTCACACAAATGCAAACTCTCATGCACACAATCACACATGCACTCATGACACTGCTGCCCACACTAGTGCAATGCCATGCCGCACATCTTAGCACACTTCCAATGTGCGCTCTCGGGAAGTCTTTTAGTGAGAAAATCTGCCGCCTTGAACACTGGTGGTGATCCAGGCGGCCGCTTCACCTTGTAGAGCCATCGGTCACTGACGACGTTCGTCCCAGGTGGTGGGACTACGTCGACGTAAGTGCCTGTAGACCTATAAGATGCCATCTCTGCCTCCTCAGCTGCTATCCAGTACGAGGCCCAGGGTCCCGAGACCGCCTCAGCATGATTGCGAGGGATCGGGATGTCAAGAGCGTCTGGATCCCCCTCGGGGGTAAGCAGCATGGCTGTGAGGATCTGGGATCGAGCTCAAAAAAGAGAATGTGAATTGAATTGATCACCTGGGTACAACACGAGGCTATATATAGGCTCGACACAAGGCCCCGTAACCAGGTGTTACGCGAAGGTTCCGCGGGTCGCGAAGCGTCCCGAACAGATCCTTCCCGAATTCGGTAGAAGGCAATTCGGTGGCAACCGAAAAGCCAGAATTCGGTGCACGCAACCTAGCTCGGTGCTATAACTATAATAAAATATAGGAAAGCACCTAGCCTAGGAAATCAAGCAATTCATGCATGCATATAATTTTCCTATGCTAGAAATAGCATAATAAAGTAAAGGCAAGCAAGCATAGCTGGCATAAGCCGTCGTACTCTCACACGTCCCCCCCTCAAAGCAGGGTGGCGTGAGATACACCCTGCTTGACAAGATAGTCCTTGAGAGCACGGCGTGCGTTGCCCATATCAGCTTCTGCAACCCAACTGTCCTCAGTGGGGTCGTATCCCTTCCAGCGTATCAGGAACTCGAGGGTCCTGCCGCCGCGGCGCCGATGAGAGAGGACGCGCTCAATCTCGTACTCGGTTTCGTCCTGCACAAGAACAGGTGGAGGTGGCGGTAGCTGCCGTCCCTGGAACTGTTGGTTGGGGTCCTTGTAGGGTTTCAGTAGCTGCACATGGAAAGCATTGTGAAGCTTCCACGCATCTGGTAAGCGCAAGCGGAATGTAACTGGTGTCACCTGTGCCTCAACGAGAAAAGGACCACAGAAGCGAGGCCGGAGTTTGGATGGGAGGTGAGACAGGTTCAAGTTGCGCGTGTCAAGAAGCACCTGATCTCCGACTGCTACTGAGTGATCACGTCGCTGACGATCGGCATACTGCTTCTGGGAGGTCTGCATCGTGGTGAGTCGTCGCTGAGTCTTCTCCCATAGCTGCTGCATGGTGGTGACGAAGTCATGTGCGGCTTGGACGTGTGCCGGTGTGGTAGGCTGCTGTGGTGTGAGTGGTTCCCGTCCGTAACACAGGAAGAAAGGAGTTTTCCCTGTGGCCGCATGTGACGCGTTGTTGTAAGCGAACTCTAGGGTCGGTAACTGTGTGTCCCAGTGGCTGACGTCGTCCTTGCAAGCTGTGCGCAGTAACTGTTCAACCACTTGATTGAGTCGCTCTGTCTGTCCGTTAGTCTGTGGGTGGTATGCTGAGGACATCGCAAGTTTAGTCCCCAATAATCCCATGAGCTCCTTCCAAAACTTACTGGTGAATTTTGGGTCTCTGTCTGAGATGAGTGTAGTGGGGATGCCGTGGATGGTGATGATGCGGTCGAAGAAGAGGCGAGCAGTTGCTTCTGCTGTGGCGGTGGCGTTGGTCGGTAGGAAGTGCCCCATTTTGGAGAACTTATCGATGACTACGAGGATGGAATCATGTCCCCGTGAGGTCGAGGGAAGTCCTGTGATGAAGTCGAGACTAACGACCTGCCATGGCTGCTCCGGTACGGGTAGAGGCTGAAGTAACCCTGCTTTCTTCTGCTTGCTGCTCTTCATCCGCTGGCACGTGTCGCAGGAGGTGACGAACTGCTGCACATCTGCTGCCATCCGGGGCCAGTAGTAATACTTCGCTATTCCCGCTAATGTCTTGTTGCTCCCGAAATGTCCCGCGTATGGTACGTCGTGGAACTCCTCCAATAGGATCTGCCGTAGCGGGGCGTAATTCGGTACCCAAATCTTTCCTGAACCCTTCCTTACCGCTAGGTCTTTCTCCCACTGTAACAGTTTCTGTTTCTTTGCCGTTGCTATCTCGCCGTCCACGGAGTACCCATGTTGGAATAGACCCTTGAGCAGAGGGTTCATCCCGTCGAGTTGGATGCCTGCTACATGACCTGGGCGGCTCAACGCGTCTGCTTTGTTGTGTAGCCCGGGCTTGTAGATGATGTCGTAGTGGAAGTGGGTCTCCAAGAAATCCACCCACCGTACCTGTCGTCGTGAGAGCGTAGGCTGCGACTTCAGGTATTTGAGGCTGCAGTGGTCAGTATAGACTGTGGTCTTGGCTCCCTTGAGGTAACACCTCCACGCCTTGAAGGCTACGACTATAGCTAGGGCTTCCTTGTCGTGGATGGGGTAGTTTAGTTCTGCTCCGTGCAGTTTCTTACTGAGGTAGGCGATAGGCTGTAAACCGTTCCCGTGATCCTGCATCAGTACTGCTCCGACTGCCTGGTCACTAGCGTCTGCTTCAACTACGTAGTCCTTCTCGGGTCTGGTAGGATGAGTACTGGGGCTGTGGTCAGTGCTGTCTGTAGCTGTTCCATGGCTTGCTGATGCGGAGTATCCCATTTGAAGGGCGTATCCTTTTTCAGTAGGTCGGTCAGTGGCGCTGCAATCTTAGCGTACTGTGGCACGAACCTGTTGTAGTAGTTGGCGAATCCTAGGAACTGCTGCAACTCCTTCACGTTCTCCGGAACTTTCCACTTCTTGACGGCTTCGATCTTCCGCGGGTCCACGTGTACGCCCTCGGCACTCACCATGTGCCCGAGAAACTGCACCTTCTTCAAGGCGAAGTCGCTCTTCGACAGCTTCACGTAGAACTTGTTTTTCCGCAGGATCTCGAACACCTTCCGCAGATGCTCCACGTGCTCCTTCATGTTCTTGGAGTAGATGAGGATATCGTCCAGGTACACCACTACGCACTCGTCCAGCAGGGGCCGTAGAATATGGTTCATTTCCGCCTGGAACGTTGCTGGTGCGTTGCAGAGTCCGAACGGCATCACCAAGTATTCATAGGAGCTGTATCGAGTACGGAACGCCGTCTTGTGGATCGAGTTGTCCGCCATCTTGATCTGCCAGTAATCGGACCGTAGGTCCAGCTTCGAGAAGACTGTTGCACCACGCAGTTGGTCCAGTAAGTCGTCGATGCGCGGTATGGGGTATTTGTTTTTAACTGTCTGTTTGTTCAGTGCGCGGTAGTCGATGCACATCCGTAAGCTGCCGTCTGGTTTTGGAGTGAAGAGAACTGGTGCACCGTAGGGAGAGGTGGATGGGCGGATCAGTTGTCTGTCCAGTAGATACTCTATCTGTTTCTTCATGTCTGTTAGTTCGGTCGGACTCAATCGGTATGGTGCACGTGAGACGGGTTTCGCACCTGGTTCCTCCACGATCTCATGCTCGTGGGTGCGTGCTGGAGGTACGCCTGCAGGTAGGTCGTCGGGCATTATATCTTTGTACTGCTCCAAGACCTCCTTCACTGCTGCAGGGAGCTCGGAACTCGGCTTCTCCTCCTCTGCTGCTGCCATGACCAGTGCTAGGTAACCCGTTCACTGTCTGTTCGAACCGTGCCAGTGTCGTCTCAGGTACGTCCCTTGTATCCATCCAGCTTCGTAGTGCTATCCGCTTCCCGTTGTTGTAGATGCACACCTTGCTGTTGATCCAATCGATCTCGAAGTTGAACCGCTTCAGAAAATCTCGCCCCAAGATAAAATCTAACCCTTTGATGTTGGTGACTGGTAGCTTCGGCTTCCACCTCAACGCACCTATATGCAGCTGCAGTGATGCTTCGCCGTGGATAGGAAGTTTCGTACCGTCCACCATGGTTGCTGAAAACTGGGTCTCCTCCGCCTTCTCTCCAATTTTCTCCAATGCTCCGCGGTCACACACCGAGTGAGATGCACCGCTGTCCACCAGTGCCTGGAGGCGTCGTCCATTGCATAACACCTCGAGGAGTAGTGGTTTCTGCTGCGCTGAGTAGCCAAAGAGGGTCTCATTAATAGGATCATAGGGTACATCAAACTTAATACCTTCCCTTTTTCCTATACCCGACTCAGCACTTTCCAACTTCACCTGGGGGGTGGGAGGATTTTTCCGAGGCTTGTATATTTTCTCCTGAGCCTGGATGCCTCCTCTAAGCCTTGGCAGCTGTGTACGCTTCACCTGTGGGCAACGGGGAGCCTTAACACTGTGATGCGGGGAGAGAATATTAACTCCACGGAACGCACGACTTTTTTCTACGCTCCGTAGTACTTTGCCCAACTTCTCAGGTACCTGAATGATTTCTAAAGGCTTTTTTCTTAGGCTCTAATCCTCCCCTGATTTTTTCAAAGGCTTGAAAACCACGAGAAGCAATATTCTTCGTTAGAGTATCTTTATAGGATACTTTTAACGAATTCTTACTTTCGTGGGTGTTCGGCTGGAGTTTCCCGGTCGGTGCAGAGTCTTTTTTCGCGGAGCCTCCATTCGCCTCGGCGATTTCCCCTGATGCCGGCCGGTCATGACGTTTTTGATTCGCGCCATCATTTTCTCCTTTTTTCGCCCGCTCCGAAGTCGCCACGTCGTCGCCTTTTCCTGCTTTTCGGATCTTTACGCGATCGCCAGGTCGATCCGCGGCTACTGGCGATTCCCGTTTTTTGACTTCGGGGGTGCTCCACTGTTTCCGTCCCGGAGTGCCGCACGTGCTTTCTTCATTTTGTAGCACGACAAAAACTGATGCCCTGCTGCGCCGCAAAATTCGCATTTTGTCGGTTGCTGCTTCGCGTCGTATTTGTCAATATCCATCGGTTCGGCGAACGTGGGGGGTGCCGATCGCTCCGTGCCGAATGTACGGTTCGGCGTGAAGCGTCGTGTTTCGGGTTGACCTCGAGTCAGCGCGTCGTATCGCTCGGCAGCATGCACGATGTCCCTGTAGCTGTTGTAATTCGCCGCAATCACCTGCCGCCGAATCTCCATTTTTAACCCTTCGGTGTACGCCTGGATTTTTTTGCCTTCGGTCAGGTCGGTGATGCGGTTGAACAGTAACTCCATCTGCTGCGTGTACTGTGCTACACTACTGTATTGCTTGTGTCGGTGTATCTGCTGCCGCGCCATGTAGGTCGTATTAATTGGTTCGAAACGCTCGATTAAATCTGCCCGAAATTGCTGCCATGTTTTCTCCCCGCGGGCTACCTCGGTGTAGTAAATCCATTCGAGAGCCGGTCCACGTAACAGTGTCGCTGCGAGCCGAATCCTTGCTGCGTCGTGTTGCGGGGTCGAACAGCCAATGGCCTCGAAGTAAATTTCGAGGGTGGCCACAAATCGCCGGACGTCGGATCCCTTCGCGCTTGGATCGAACGCCTCAGGGAGCCTCGGTCGTGCTGCTTCGAGGTTCGGCGACAGTGGTGCCATCGGTCCGTGAAATGTCGGTGTCGCCACTGCTGCTGGAGTTGTCGGTGCTGCAGTCGCTGTGGTCGCTGCTGCTGCGGTGGCGAACCCTGGTTGGCTTGTCAGAAAAGCCTCGAGTCGACGAAGCGTCGCCTGCGTCTGCTCCATGTCGGTGCGGAGGCTCGCGATGTCGCTCGTGGTCGCGTAGTTGTCGCCTTGGCCTTCCATGCCTGACATCAACGCGTCCGAAAAACCGAATCGAGGGGGAGCGAAAAACACGGAACCGGTTTTACGTACCCGAAATCGATGTTTAACTGCGTCGCCCCCGCGGTTTTTTTAAGACTGGTTTGTAGCGGTCGAAAGAACTTCGCGTGTAAACGGGCTCTGATTACCAAGTGTGAGGATCTAGGATCGAGCTCAGAAAAGAGAATGTGAATTGAATTGAATGATCACCTGGGTACAACACGAGGCTATATATAGGCTCGACACAAGGCCCCATAACCAGGTGTTACGCGAAGGTTCCGCGGGTCGCGAAGCGTCCCGAACAGATCCTTCCGAATTCGGTAGAAGGCAATTCGGTGGCAACCGAAAAGCCAGAATTCGGTGCACGCAACCTAGCTCGATGCTATAACTATAATAAAATATAGGAAAGCACCTAGCCTAGGAAATCAAGCAATTCATGCATGCATATAATTTTCCTATGCTAGAAATAGCATAATAAAGTAAAGGCAAGCAAGCATAGCTGGCATAAGCCGTCGTACTCTCACAATGGCGCAGAGATGAGGAACAGCAGCCGCAAGGAAACCAAGCTCAAACTGCCTGTCCTCTAGAACCTCCAGGGGAAAGACAGGAGCACCCCCAGAGGACGGAGAACGAGCAGGGCCACTCACCAAGTGAGCAGCGTAGTGAAGGCGGTGGGAAGAGGCAAAGCCAGCGACAGTGGTAACAAGTGCTGAGACAGACGACAGGGGTGCAGTCGGGTGAGTGACCAACGCGGACAAAACACGGGAGATGACAGGACGGGAGGCACGAAGGTAGTCGGACAACGGGTCGTGAAGCACAGTGAGGGACGACTCAGGAGGCTGTGGAAGGACAGGAGGAGGTGGAACACGAGAGCGAAGAACAAGGTGGAACGGACCGTCTGCAAGGTAACGGGACCGACGACGCTCTGGGGACACAGCACGCGACTACCCTCTCCTGCTGCGACTGCAGCTGCACCCGCTGCTGCGACCGGGACTCCTGTGCTACCCTCTCCTGCTGCGGCCGTGACTCCTCCTCTACTCTCTCCTGCTGGGTTTGTAACTGCACCTGCTGCTGCGGGTGGGACTGCTGCTCTACCCTCTCCTGGTGCGGCCGTGACTGGTCCTCTACTCTCTCCTGCTGTGTCTGTAACTGCACCTGCTGCTGCGGGCGGGACTCATGCTCTACCCTCTCCTGGTGCGGTCGTGACTCCTCCTCTACCCTCTCCTGCTGCGGCTGTGACTCCTCCTCTACTCTCTCCAGCTGCTGCTGCGGCTGCTGCTGCTGCTGCTGCTGCTGCTCCTGCTGCTGTGCCCTCTCAAACCGCTCACGCTCCTCCCTCTCCAACCTGAGGAGACGCTGCTCACGGGTCAGGAAACGTACAGCACGCGGTGTAGGCGCAACAGTGCTAGTGCCTCCAGCTCCAGCACCCCCCGAACCAGCACCTCCACCACCGACACCCCCGGGGCCTCCAGTACCTCCCGCACGAACACCCCCAGGCTCCGCAGCAACCGGCCGCAGAGAAGAACGAGGAGGAAATTGCGGGACGGACGGGAAGCCAGTTGAGTCGAGGCTGCCGTGTCCTCCACAGGAGTGACCTCCACGCCCACAACCCCTGCACCCCCAGAGCCGACACCACCAGCTCCTGCAACCCCAGTGCCCTCACCCTCCGCAAGTGCACCTCCCGCACCCCCAGACACGACAGGGACTGGACGCTGCGGGGGGGAAGACTGCGGAGTGACGTGCGATACACCTGACGGGGCAGGACGCGAGGGGGGGGGGGGGCTACCGGGGCGACCGGTGGGGGCTCAAGGGTGAGGAACAGCAGGGGGGAAAAGACCTCAGTACCTCGGTGGGGGCGACTCCTGTAGTAACAGACAGACTCGTCGAACGTGACGTCCTGAGAAGCGAAGAACTGGTAGGTGACCGGGTCGTAGAACACCCAGCCAGAGGCGTCCAACGGGAAGCCAAGAAAGACGCAGGCACGAGTGTGCGGAGACAACTTGTTCGCGCCAGGGGCGCGAACATGAGCCAGAGAACCCCAGACACGGAAGTCAGCTGCTACGCCCGGAGAACCTTTCCAAAGGGAGACCGGCGTCACCCGTGGCCGTGCGTCACTGAGCCACAGGTTCAGCTGGTGCGCGGCGTAGCGGACTGCCTGAGGCCACAAGAACTGGGGGGCACCGGCATGGCACATAGAGGTCCAGGCAACCTCCATGACCAGGCTGATGCGTCGCTCGGCTACCCCGTTCTGCTGCGGTGAGGCTGGTAGCGTGTAAGACTGGATGATCCCCCGACCCTGACGGAACGTCTCCAGGCGAGTGGAAGAAAACTCACCACCACGATCCGAGTG